AATTGTTGGTTTAATTAATGGAATGTGATGTTTGTTTGTGTTTAATTTTAGTAATTTTTGAATTTTTTGTATTTATTGATTTTTATTTGTTTGTTTAATTGTATGAAATTGTCGTTATTAATGGCTGCTCTGACGGTTTTGTAAGTGTTATTAATTAAAATATTGTCAAGGGTTGTTTGGTTAGGTATGTATTTGGTTTAATTTATTTCTTAATTTGATGTTTGAATTTGTACATTGAAGGAATTTGTGTTGGTGGGTTTTATTTTTGGGGTGGTGGTGGTATTTGTGAGTGTAAATTCGAGTGATTTGAACGTGGTTAACTGGTTGATTAGGCGGATTGTGATCCAGTTTTAGTAACTTTTTGAGATGTGTTATTGAAGACATATGCTTTGACAAATGGGTTTTGATGTCCTTGTTAAATGAGATGGGTTAATGAAGAATTTGGGTTGAGAAATTACATGAGATATCCTTGTTGCATAGATGTTGTATTAGGTTAATTGAGTGATTTGCTTTTGGAGATTGGTTTTTCAACATTGAGTGATTGTTATAGGGGTTACTTCGTCTTCACAGTTCCCGTCTGCTGTCACCATCACTACACTCATGTTTTGTGGACTGAACTACTGAAGTCATGTGTTCTTCTTCGTTCTTACACGGTTTATGGACTGCAGAAGGAGTAACTACATAAATGCTACACTGGTGCAAGTTTATGAGGTTTAGCAGCATGGTATTGCGTTACAAAGTTTGCCCAATCTTATAAAGTAGGAACTTGACATCAGATCCTTTGACTCAAGGAGGAAGGGAACTTATGGGAGTTTGTTTTGTGAATGACGAATTGATTAGGAAATTCCAATTCATGTTGTATTTTGAAGCCATTAAGTTATGAAGCACTTATTTACTCTTTGTGATTAATAGATCTGTACTACTCTGTTACTTTCCCGTCCCTAATATGCAAGTGTATTGTAATGAAAAGTAGAAATCCTTCTCTTTGACATTGTGTTTAATTGAGGCCTTTGGGATTAAGGATAAAGGGGTTTCTGTGGTTTCTTCCAGTGATTGGATGTTATAATGATATGCTCCTCTCACCTATATACTGTTTATCATCTGATGACTGTATTTATGATTAGCGTTACTGTAATGATCTTTTTCTAGGCTTTAGCTGTCACATAAATTGATATTGGGACACTAGCTCTTCTTATTGTATCTCCTCTTGTCTGTCTCGCCTTCCACATATACAAATCCCCAAGTATTGTTCATTGTGATTTATTCTTATAGTAATTTTTGTAGAGCATGCCATTTCATATTATTGGTGTATAGATGCATTTATGGTGAAGTGCATTGCAGTTTCACTCTCCAATAACTAAGGGGCAAATAATTGTTTTATTGTGCTTTACATGAGGAAGCTACCTCATCTTCTTTTGTTTCCCTTTTCTTTCTTTTTTTTTACATGCTGTTCTCCCAAGCTTATCATACTGTTCACTATTTCCAGATAAACCAAGTGGTGGACAGGCCCAACAGTTACAGCACAATATGCCTCCACCTATGAATAATATACAGTCGCCACAACCCCAAGGTGCTGTAGCACCAATACCACCATCTTCAAGTAGCAGCTTGGGCTCTGATAAGTCACATCCAGCACAACCCCCTGGGCAGTCATTGTCCTCACTGCCCTTCCCTAATGGCACATTTACTTATGAAGAATTAGTTTTGGCTACAGACAACTTTTCAAGTGCCAATCTTCTTGGTCAAGGGGGTTTTGGATATGTCCATAAGGGAGTCCTGCCTAATGGGAAAGAGATTGCGGTCAAACAGTTGAAATCTGGAAGCGTCCAGGGGAGCGCGAGTTCCAGGCTGAGGTTGAAACAATTAGTCGTGTTCATCACAGGCATCTTGTTTCACTTGTTGGACATTGCATTTCTGGAGAACAACGAATGCTTGTGTATGAGTTCATTTCAAACAAGACCTTGGATTTCCATTTGCATGGTAAGTTCTTGTTTGACATCTAACCTATGAAATATTTTCAAGTATGCAATTGCAGCAGTGATTCTGTTTGTACATTTTGAGGCTTGCTTTTGAACTTATATTCTACAGCATGATTAAGTTGGATATTTTGTCAATTTTTGATTTGGCTACGAAAATCTGCTCATGTGTACCAAGTATTTAGTAGAACTTTGTCTTAACTAATGAATCATCTAGCAGACTGAGCCTTGCAGCGTTCTTCCTAAGCTTTCAATTTGTTTTGGCATTGAGGAGGTTTGGGTACTAATTCTAGTTTCTAAATTGCATTCAAGAAAATAAAGAACATTTGCAATTTTTACTGTGAAGTATGACTAGATCTAATCTTGTTTTCGTTAAGTTTGATTGAACTTTAGGTCAACGTATTGGCCTTTTCGTTTTTACATTGATTGAAATCATGGTTACTTTAGTTGGCTCATGAACTTTTTTGGTCATGTTACAGAGTGAATTAGTAAGGCAATTTCAATTACATCTAACCAAATTCTCTATTGGTGTAAAAGTGGTTGTAATGCATTTTTTTTTAAATCTGGGATTTTTGTTGTTGTTCAAGTTTCTCATCTGAACAATGAGAAGGTCTCTCATCTGAACTATGAGGGTTCATGTAGTAAAAAAATTGTAATTTCTCATGTCATGTTATAATGAAGTCTTGTGGTGTTGTAGAAGCAAAACCACCTATGAATTGGGCAACAAGGCTGAAAATTGCTATTGGTGCTGCGAAAGGATTGGCATATCTTCATGAAGACTGTGAGTTCCTTGGTGCTCGTATAATCATTTGGAAGGATCCTGATTTTGTCTCAAAAGGTTGTTGACTTTTGGCTAGTTTATTTTGTATACAGGTCATCCAAAAATCATTCATCGAGATATCAAGGCATCAAATATTCTTATTGATGAGGAGTTTGAAGCCAAGGTCAGGAATTTCATGCAATTTAATAATATATTGTATTTATCATCTACAATTTGGTAAATTTAAGTTGAATTCTTGAATGTGATGTTGTATTTGTGAGAAAATGATTCAGACTTATTCATGTGGCTCTGAAGTGCTGATTAGATTATCTACTTTTATGCTCCCAGGTTGCAGACTTTGGACTTGCAAAGTTTTCTTTTGACACAGACACTCATGTGTCTACCAGGGTTATGGGAACTTTTGGGTAAGATAAATAATATGCCGTCTGAAATCTCCCTGTTTAGATGTTAATTACATCAGTGACTAATTTGTTGAGGTGATCTGCAGTTACTTGGCTCCAGAATATGCTTCAAGCGGGAAACTCACTGAAAAATCAGATGTCTTTTCCTTTGGGGTTGTGCTTCTGGAATTGATTACAGGACGTAGACCTGTTGATAAAGCCCGTCCCTTCATGGATGATAGCATGGTTGAATGGGTGAGCTTTCTTTGTCTAATCTCACAAGGTCTCTTAGGCTGAGGCATTAACAAGTCTTGCACTCCAATGCTAATCTTAATGTTGAATTTGTAGGCAAGGCCATTGCTGTCACTAGCCTTAGAAGGTGGAAGCTTTCAGGAACTTGTTGATACAAGATTGGAGGACTACAATTCTACTGAGATGGCTTCCATGATTGCTTGTGCTGCTGTATGTGTTCGTAGCTCTGCAAGACGGCGGCCGCAAATGAGTCAGGTAACTAGCTGAGGATTGAGAATAAAATTGCTATTGGGAAAATACGTATAACATCAGTCTGCATATTGGATTGAGTTATTACAACTCCTTGAGCTGATAGTCTGAAACTGCATCTTTCAATTTTTAAGTCCATCCTTCATTTAATGTAGGTTGTAAGAGCTTTGGAAGGGAACTTGTCTGTCGAGGATCTATTGAAAGAAATTCCACCAGACAACCGAGCATTCCACGGAAGCACAGATTATGACTCTAATAGTGCTCAATACAAGGAGGATTTAAAGAAATTTAGGAAACTAGCACTTGAAAGCCAAGAGCAAAGCACTGGCGAGTACAGCGTATTCACCAACGAGCATGGTGTACCCCCATCAACCTCGAGTACTGAGAATCAACTTGATACCCAGGAGGTCGAAACTGGGAAATCTAAAACAGGAACCACAAGTGTTCTTGAAATCCCTGTAGAGTGAATAGATTAACCTTTGGACTTTATTAATGTAAGCTTGATTCATTCTTTAAGATGCTTCATTTTAGTAATATTGGTGTCAAATAGAGTTAGGTGTACAAAGTTTTTGTCGATTAGTCCTACTATCATTAACTTAATATTGGCATAGGTCACTGTAAATGTTTACTTGTTCAGATACACGAGCTTGAGACTAACTAGTGTATTCTTATTTTTGTACCATACATGAGCTAGCCAAAAGTTTGCCATACCTTTATACATTTTCGCCTTTTTTAGTTGCTAAACAGTAATGTACTTGTTTTGGTTAGTGTATTTGTTAATCATATAGCTCTTAAAAATTCTGAAATACAAATAAATATCTACCCTTACCAGGTATAATCAACGCATAATTATAGCTTGGTAATACTTAATTGCAAGGTTTATTTAGGACAACTGTTAGAAAATTCTTTGATCTATTACAGTGTGCAGTATACTACGATCTGAGCTAATTGTATTGCACAGCACGAACTTCTCCTCTTACTGCTACCAGGTTTTTGGGTGGATCTTTATTGCGCGTGTAACAGTCTGTATGTATGTTATTATTAACAAATCCCTTTTCTTTACTAGGAGATAACTATTGAACTGGCCTCCACGAGTAAACGCCCATCATCATATCGTTATTTATCATATATTAATCTATGTATACTTGTTTAGTAATAACATATTCAGATGGCTCTGCTGTCATCTGAAATATATTCATAGTTGATTTATTTTGTTTATTTCAAACAGTAGCTGACTTTTGCTTACTTGTTCTCACATCAAACCATTATTCTAGACATCTAGTCAATTGTCTACGACGTTGGATTATTGTATAAAAGAAAAATACAAAAAGAAGCAATTACAGACTTCATGATCAACTGTATGATATGTAGTAGTTAGCAACCATGACATTTCTTGAAGAAATGGTATTCAGAATTTTCCTAATGTTTCAACTATGTTATCTTGGTTATTCCGAGCCCCAATTTGTGAGCTCTTTCTGTATACAAAAGAGTGGCTCTTATAGTAAAAATAGCCTGTATCAGGATAATCTGAGTCTCGTTTTCAGCAATCTAACTTCTGCTGCATCAATTAAAGGCTTCGCTAACTTCACTGCTGATGAAGGCGTTGACAAAGTATATGCTCTCTTCTACTGCAGAGGAGACCTGAACCTGTCAGACTGCAGCAACTGTGTTGAAACTGCGACATCTAGAATTGTTTATGAATGCCCCAATAAGAAAGAAGCAATAGTTTTTTTTGAAGAATGTACACTTCGTTATGCCAATCGCTCTATCTTCTCCCTAGAGGAGGAAGATCCAAATGATTGGTCTTACAGTGAAGCTATGGTTTCTGATAAAGATCAGTTCAATGATGTTCTAACAGCAGCGATGAGTGGTCCTATGAATCAGGCTGCTTATAATAGTTCCAAACGAGGTTTTTCTACTGGTGCTACTACAAACTCTTCTGCAAATCAGACTGTGTATTGCCTTGCACAATGTACTCCGGACATTCTTGGCAGTCCATGCCACAAATGCCTCCTTGCAGCACTTGATAACCTGATTGATGAGGGGAGAACTAAGATGAGTCTTTTTATGCCAAGTTGTCAGGTTATGTATTCTCTTGCTCCTTTCTTCAGTATTAAACAGGAGCCAAATTCTTCGCCGAATGACCCTGGTCTTAAATCTCCTGCAGATGCACTCCCCCTTCCTTCCAGTAAGTAAATCACCAATCTGCACTCAATTCTTATTGCTTTTATATTACTGTTATCAACCACAGTAGAATAATTCTTAATTTTTTTTGGCAGCAGGAAATAGTAAAACATACATAGCTGTAGGAGTCACTGCTGCTTTAGGATTGTGTATTATGCTTTTTGCTCTATGGTTTTGGTTGTGTAAGAGAAGGGTGACTATGAAACGCGAAAAAACCCAACAGATTTCACATAATGTGCAGAGCACATTTACTTATGAAGAGCTAGCTTTGGCAACAGATAACTTTTCAAGAGCCAATGTTCTTGGTCAAGGTGGTTTTGGATTTGTTTACAAAGGAATCCTGCCTAATGGTATAGAAGTTGCAGTCAAACAGTTGAGAACTGGAAGTGCACAGGGGGAGCGCGAGTTTCAGGCAGAAGTTGAAATTATTAGTCTTGTGCATCATAGACATTTGGTTTCGCTTGTTGGATATTGTATTTCTGGAGATCAGCGATTGCTTGTGTACGAGTTCATTCCCAACAAGACCATGGAATTCCATTTACATGGTAAGTTCTTTGATTACACGGACTGTATATCTAGAAAATTAGTAATGATCAAGACAAAAAATTCCAAGAAAATTGGGGAAGAATTCAATGAAATGTTTCAGTATATCTTCAGTATCTTATTTCCAATATTTCAGGACTTGGTTTTAATAGATTTTGACATTTTTGTAGGAGATGAAAATCCATCTATGATTTGGCAAACAAGGTTGAAAATTGCTTTAGGTGCAGCGAAAGGATTGACATATCTTCATGAGGAATGTATGTTACTTTGTAGACCTTAACTTCTCGTATTCATTTTAAGGACGTTGATTCCGTTTCATCATTGATGTCTGGCTTTAAATATGTGTCTGCAGGTTATCCAAAAATCATTCACCGAGATATCAAGGCAGCGAATATACTTATTGATGACGAGTTTAATGCTAAGGTCCAAATTTCTTGCTAGCTGATTAAAGAACTGAAATTTTTATTTAACTCTCCTGGTCTGTACTTTTGACAGCTTCAAGATGGTATGTTCATCCTGTGTGATTATAGTGGTTTTTGAATTGATAATCAGTCCTATCATGTTTTCCTTTATTTGTTAGCTGTTTAACAATCCTAAGAACTCACCATACTATAAGACTAAAACAAGCTAGGCAAACGATCCAAACTGTCCTGGTCTCTACGCGTTATGAAACCTTCTGTTTTCTTTGGAACTTGTAATATATGCTATTTTAGTCTTTACAAATTGTTGACTGAGCTCTGCTGCCAAACGATCCAAACTGTCCTGTTCTTTTCGTGCCAAAGATAATGAACCACGATTTCTGCCTGCTGTAATTGCATATCAATAGTTCCTTCTGAAGTTTCTATCTTTTCTGCTAGAAATTAACTTCAGATTACTAGGAATAGAGCATCCTTGCTTCAACACCACACCATATCATCATAAATTCATAATATACAATGCACCGCTTTCTATACTATCAATCTAAATATAATTTAGCACTCGGTATTAAATTTGATTTTCCCTATCATCTACCCATACACCAATTTATGCATCTTGTCCCTAATCATCAATCTACCCTTCACAGCAATCCAAAACGCGGACATGTGCATAGGGACTGTCAATCTGCAGTCTGCACTAATCTGATCCTATTTATAAGCAACAATAATCCGATTTTTTTTTTTTTTGCGTCTAACTCCATTTATATGCAGCATAAACACCCTTTTTTTTTTGGCACTGATGTGAAATTGCATGTTCATCCTCTATCCAGGTTGCAGATTTTGGACTTGCAAAGTTTTTCTTAGACACAGATACTCATGTCTCTACTAGAGTTGTGGGAACTTTTGGGTAAAATTGATACTTTACCACTTAATTTTTCACTGTTCATGTACTCGTACATGTTAAGAACATAATCAGCTAATATTATTGTAATTTGCAGTTACCTAGCGCCAGAGTATGCTGCAAGTGGGAAACTTACTGAAAAATCAGATGTATTTTCCTTTGGAGTTGTGCTTCTGGAATTGATTACAGGACGTAGACCTGTTGACAGATTCCGTCGCTTTCAGGATGATGGCATGGTCGAATGGGTGAGGTTATCATGAATCTTATGCAACCTTTAAGAATTTCTTTCAGTACGATCTTTTACAGTTTTATGGCTTACAGACACTCGTAAACCTGTTTGTCCATGTTGAACTTGTAGGCCAGGCCCTTGCTTAAACAAGCCCTAGAAGGTAGAATCTTTAATGACATCGTTGATCCAAGATTAAAAGAATACAATCCCTTTGAGATGGCACAAATGATTGCTTGTGCAGCAGCATGTGTTCGCATCTCTGCAAGACAACGGCCTCAAATGAGTCAGGTACATGTTGCATATCTTTAATCATGTTGGATTGTTACAATGTGACAACTAATTTCATACGTTTTTTTTTAAAACCTTGTACTTATATTTGATCTGTTTATTTGGTTGATGCAGGTATTACAAACTCTTGAAGGGAACTTATCAGCTGAGGATCTTCTGAAAGAAAGCACAACAGATAATGATATGTTCAACAAAATTTCTGACGACGGCTCTAGTAGCCAGCATAAGGAGGATTTACATAAACTTGGGAAGTTAGCTCTACAATCAAGTCATACTCAAAGTACTGATAAGTTCAGTGCTAGCACCAGCGAGCTCGTATCTACCTCGAGTACTGAAAACCAACCAGATACCCTGGAGTTATAGAAACTGAATACTAAGAAATAGGAATGATAAAATTTCTGTTGAATGAATGAATTTACCTTTGGATTTTATCAAAAGCGTGCTTAATTCCGAAGTACTCCAAGACCAAATTATTAAACAACGTTTGTTTACGTGTACATGTATAGATGTTAGAGAGTATATTGCTAAAATATTTTTACTTTCTAAATTGTATGACACTATTTTGTTTTCTTAATTTCTTTGAAGTTTGAACATGTGAAAAGTGTGGTAGAATGAACTACTATTTCTATTCAGAGTTCCTATTTTCTCAAGTTCTTCATCAACCATGATTAAATAAAAAGTAATGAGAGGTAAGGGTAGGAAATTGTAAGGATTTATTATTTTCCTTTCCTTTTAATAAATTGATGACTATGAATATATTTTTCTGAACTTAATTAACTTTGTCTCAACTTAATTAACATTGCAGAAGAGCTTAATTTGTCTGAACTTAATTAACTTTATTTTATTTGAAATAAAGTTAAAAAAGTCGCACCAAACAAACCTTGTGTCAATATAATATAATAACTAGCATAGTGCCCGTGCGATGCACGGTTTATAAATCAAATTATTAAACCCGTAGGAAAAAAAAAACAAAGGTAATTCATTTACTATTAAAGGACCTGGTTACTAATGGTCAATAAAAAAAAAATTAAAGAAACGTTATTTGAATAGTATTTTATGTTATTTGAATTTCTTTTAATTTTTTATAATGTTATTTTATTAATTGAAAAATAATTGAATAATACTCCACATAGCTATATAAGAAGTGAACTAATTTATTTATATCTCCCGTTGAGAAAAAACTAAAATTTTCTTATCATACCATCCACATCAGTAGCTACAATCAATCTAATATATACATGTTTTATTTACCCGTCGCACTCATTAAATCTATAAACACAATAATAACCTTATATTTGACCTACCAGAACATATATTTTCCTAAGTTAAGCATTGTGCCAAAAACTATATATTATATAACAGTCATATATATAACCAATAGCTGATTAAATATAGTAAATACTTCGTATATAGGTATGGATACTGATAATTTTATATAAATAAAATATACGGAGTATATATTACTAAGATTTATCCCTACCTTAATTATAAAATGGTTAACAAAACTCTTATAATAGTGCATGGACATTTATATATCTAAAAATGTTCTTTTTACATATATTTTCCCCCATTTAATTTTAAAAGCCTTAAAATTGTCTCTTGAATTCGCTAAATTGATTTAAAAGGTTATGTTTATTTCAATATTTAAAGCCATTTACTATCTTCATTTCCTTTTGTTTTAATTTTTCTATTTAGAATTTATTAGACTATTAGGTTTCAAGATCGAAGTCAATATCTTTTTACCGTACAATCACTAAATCAAAGTCGCTCAACTAAAGTTTTAGACATTGCATAGCTACACAACATCCAACACATTTAATGATTACATGCAAATAATTTTAATAAAACTACGCATTCGATATAAGTTATTAAACAATTTAACTATATATACATTTTGATATGTTTATATCTTTCATATTAACAAAAATTTACAAATATTATTATTATATTTTGAAAAAAAAATTAGACTTTGGAGTTTTGTATAAGATAGATAGGATAAGTTAATTCCCATCAAATATACATTATTATTATATTTTGAAAAAAAAACATTTTATATCTATCCTTTTTCTGTCAAATGTCTAAATTAATTTAACTTTTATTCTTCTTGTTTAGAATAGTTATTGGTTCAGTTTTTTTTTTTTTTTTTTTTTTTTTTTTTTTTTTTAATGCAAGAAAAACAAAAGGTCATTGTATAGAAAATGAAAGGCCTATTAAAATTAAATTTTTGTTCAAGATTATGTATTTTTTTCCAAGACAACATTTCGGCTCAGCATTCAGTATTTGTCAAGGAGTACAACAAACGATAAAAGTAATTTTTACACTATTTTGTATCTTTATCAAAAACTTTTGTATTCAACCGATTACTTGAATTGAATTTAGGATAACTTGTAGACTATTTTGGGTAACTTTTATCAATAAAGCATAAATAACTTTCATTCATTACAGAGTAGCTTTTATAATAGGTGCACAATATTTTATTGTACATCTGATTTTTTTTAAAATATTTGTATTGATTTCATAATTGACGTCAAACTAAATTCTATCGATTTTATTTAATTTTCATAAAAAAAAACAATATTAGTCTTTCAAAATACGAAATATTTGTTTCCTTAATTATGCCACTTTAATCATATTGCTTCAAATTAGTTATTATTCTTTAACTTGACTATAAATAAAGATTGGAAAGACTTCATGGATTATTTGTAGTATTGGAAAGTATAAATTTATTATAAAAAAATTAAATCAATATTTATGTTAGGAAATCATGAAAATCTTATACATGAATAGAAACTTGCTTTTATTGTTTTAAGTTTAACAAAAATAACTATGCTTGAATATGTAAACAGTAATTATATAAATATATTTTATACTTAAGATAAGCCAATGAGAAAGTGACATTTGTCATCCTTACATTGAGGCGCTTGTCTTTTAGTATAATATATAGATAGATATATAGATAGATAGATTTAAGGAGCACTTTTTGTATTAGAGATACGGGGGAGATAATTGCCTTAACTAGCACCCTAGACATAAACGAATAAATGATACATCATTAAATTCAACCTCAAGCTCCATATCCATTCACAAAGCTCTCCCCAGTTATTTTAAGGGTAAGTTTACTATTGCAAGTCTTGAGCAAAGTCTCAACATGAGTCTTGCTTAGAGCTGTCAATTCGGGTAAACGAGTCGGGTTTGGGTCGGGTAAGAGTGGGTCGGGTCAACTCGGGTTGGGTCAATTCAGATTAATTCCATAACCTATGCGGGTCGGGTTTGGGTTGAGTCATGCTTGAGTCGGGTCACGTCGGGTCATACTTCTTATCGGGTTTGGGTCGGGTTAATAACATAACAGGTTACATTTGGGTCGGGTGAACAATAGGTCGGGTTTAATTCGGGTTTCACGGGTTAAAACGGGTTAGGGTAATTCTCGGGTTCGAGTCGAGTTCGGTTCAAGTCAATAATTTGTGCATTAGAATCAGGTCGGGTCATTCTCGGGTTTGATTCGGGTTCGGTTCAAGTCAATAATTTGCGATTATAATCAGGTCGGGTCATTTTCAAGTCGGGTCATTCTTGGGTTCAAGTCGGGTTCAGTTCAAGTCAATAATTTGCTGGTTATAATCAGGTAGGGTCATTTCCAAGTCGGGTCATTTCCAAGTCGGGTCATTCTCGGATTCAAGTCGGGTTATGTTCCAGCCAATAATTTGCAGGTTACAATCAGGTCGGGTCATTTCCAAGTCAGGTCATATTCGGGTTCAACTAACTATAAATAGATAATTATCATTTTTATCAAGCTAATCATTTCCTTTGACTATAATATATATGGGAATATACTAGGGAACTATAGTCTAATTTAGGAAGATAAGTATCTCCTTTGACCATACAACAAATATATACTACATTTAACTCTTAAATTTGAGGATGATGCTCCTTTCTTTAGATAGCCTAGACCGACTTGGTCTCCCAAGAAAAAATGTTTTGATCAATAATAATAAGGTGGCCTAGTCTAAATTGCATTTAAGGTGATTTGAAATCGGGTCGGTAACAATTTGGGTTGAATTTAGGTAGGGTAAATAACAAGTCGTGTTAATTTCGAGTCGGGTTAGTAACATATCGGTTTGATTTTTTGGGTTGGGTAAGTAATAGGTAATGTAAAATTCGGGTCGGGTCAATAACAAGTCAAGTTGAATTTGGGTCAGGTCAATAACAAGTCGAGTTGATTTCGGGTCGGGTTTGTAAAAGGCTGGTTTAAATTAAGGACGGGTTAGGAACGGGTCGGGTTGAATTCAGGTCAGGTTAGTAACATGTCGGGTTAAATTCGGGTTTTGATGGGTTAAAACGGGAGTGGGTCAATTTCGGTTCAAGTCGGGTTCTGTGCAAGTTAATTAAATTGGCCGTTGTAAACCGGTAAATTGGTGCAAGTTGTAAACCGGTAAATTGGCCGTTGAAAAGCAAATTGAATGGTTCCACACACCCAATTGGACTTCCGGAGGGAATTAGGGACCATGGTAAACATTTCGGCAATTTTTATTTGTGGGCGAAAAAAGTCTAAAAATTCCAAAATTGAAAGCTAATATCCACGTTTTTTAAGAAATTTTGGAGGTTTCAGTGCCCAGTGTTGAAAAGTCTTGAAATACTATGGGATAAATCTCGGGGTCATATCATGCCGTTTGGAACCATATATGATCATTATTTGTTGTCATAAATATTCGTGGTAGGCTTGAATGAATGAAATCGGAGCAATATGTAAACCGGTAAATTGGACGTTTAAAGGCAAATTGAATTGTTCCACCCACCCACCCAATTGGACTCCCGGAGAATATTAGGGACCATGGTAAATATTTCGGCAATTTTTATTTCCTGGCGAAAAGAATAAAAAAAAATTCAAAATTGAAGGCTAATTATCCACGCTTTTTGAGTAATTTTGGAGGTTTCGGAGCCCGGTGTCAAAAAGCCTTAAGAATTAGGGGATACATATCGGGTTTATATAATGCCATTTGGAACCGTATATGATCATTATATGTTGTAATAAATGTTTGTGGTAGGCTTGAGTTAATGAAATCGGTGCAAGTTGTAAACCGGTAAATTGGTCGTTTAATGGCAAATTGGATGGTTCCACCCATCTAATTGGCCTCCCGAAGGGTATTAGGTACCATGATAAACATTTCGACAATTTTTATTTTTGGTCAAAAAATTCCAAAATTTAATGTTTGTTGAGAAATTTTGGATATTTCGAGGCCCAATGTCGAAAAGACTTGAAATTTTAGGATTACATCTCGGGGTCATATAATGCCATTTTGGAACCATATACGATCATTACATGTTGTCATAAATGTTCGTGGTAAGCTTGAATTAATGAAATAGGTGCAAGTTGTAAACCGGTAAATAGGTCGTTTAAAGGAAAATTGGATGGTTGCACCCACACAATTGGAATCCCGGAGGGTATTAGGGACCATGGTAAACATTTCAGCAATTTTTATTTTTGAGCAAAAAAAAGTCAAAAATTGAAGGTATCCACATTTTTTGAGAAATGTTTGGAGTCTTCGGGGCTCGGTGTTTAAAAGTCTCAAAATTCAAGGGAATACATCTTAGGGTCATATAATGTCGTTTGGAACCATATGTGATCATTATTTGTTGTCATAAATGTTCGTTATAGGCTGAGTTAATGAAATTAGTGCAAGTTGTAAACCGGTAAATTGGTCATTTAAAGGCAAATTGGATAGTTATTTCCACCCACCTTATTGGACGCCCAGAGGGTGTTAGGGAATATGGTAAATATTTCGGCAATTTTTATTTCTGGGCGTAAAAAAGTCATAAAATTCCTAATTTGAAGGCTAATATCCACGTTTTTTGAGAAATTTCGAGGGTTTTGGGGCTAGGTGTCGAAATGAAATACGATTTTATTAGATACACCTCAGGGTCATATAATGAAGTTTGAAACCATAAATGACCATTATATGTTGTCATGAATGTTCGTGGTAGGGTTGAGTTAATGAAATAAGTGTAAGTTGTAAACCGGTAAATTGACCGTTAAAATGCAAATTGGATGGTTCCACCTACCTGATTGGACTATTGGAGGGTAATAGGAACCATGGTAAACATTTCAGCAATTTTTATTTTTGCGCGAAAAAAAGTCAAAAAAATCAAAAATTGAAGGCTAATATCCACGTTTTTTGAGAAATTTTTGAGGTTTCGGGACCTGGTGTCGAAAAGCTTTGAGATTTTACGGGATACATCTCGAGGTCATATAATACTATTTTAAACCATAAATGATCATTATATGTTGTCATAAATGTTCGTGGTAGGCTTGAGTTAATGAAATTGGTTCAAGTTGTAAACCGGTAAATTCACCATTTAAAGGAAAATAGGATGTTTTCACCCACCTAATTGGACTCCCGGTGGGCATAGGGACCATGGTAAACTATTCGACAATTTTTTATTTACAGGCGAAAAAAAAGTCAAAGAATTCCAAAATTTAAGGCTAATATCCACGCTTTTTTAGAAATTTTTAAGGTTTCGAGGGCCGGTGTCGAAATTCCTTGAGATTTTAGGGGATGCATCTCGGGGTCATATTATGCCGTTTGGAACCATAAATGATCATTATTATATGTTGTCATAAATGTTCGTGGTAGGCTTGAGTTAATGAAATAGGTGTAAGTTGTAAACCGGTAAATTGGTCGTTTAAAGGCAAATTGGATGGTTCCACCCATCCAATTGGACTCGGGATGGTATTAGGGACCAAGGTAAAAATTTCGGCAATTTTTATTAACAGGCGAAAAAATGTCAAAAAATTCCAAAATTGAAGGCTAATTATCTACACTTTTTGAGATATTTTGGAGATTTCAGGGCCCGGTATCGAAAGTCATTAAATTCTAAGGGATATATCTCGGAATCATATAACGCCATTCGGAACCACTACTAGAAATGGGCCAAATTCCGACGGAATTATGCCGACGGACATGATTTTCCGTCGCAAATCCTATAATCAACGACGGATTTAAGTTTGACGCTAATTTCGGTCGGAAAACATAGTTTCCGACGGAAATTTCCTCGCAAAGTTTCCGACCGAATTTAATTCGGTCGGAAAATATAGTTTCCGACGGAATATTCCGTCCTAAATTTATTTACGACGGAATATTCCGTCGGAAACTATGTTTTCCGACCGAATTAATTTCGTCGGAAAATTAATTAGACAAAAGTCAAGGGTTTTGATGTTGGTGTCCATTTGCTACGAATTCGAAAGAAAGAGAGAGGAAGAAACAGAGAGGAACGAAAGAAAGAAGAAAGAAAGATCCGCCGCCGTCGAAGAGTCAACGTCGCCCAGCCGTTCGCCGCAGTCGGAGATCCGTCTTCCGTTGGTCGACCCGCCCTTCCGTTGGTCGGACGCCGGTAAGTGTAGGTTTTGTTTTTTTTTTTTTAAAAAAAATATATAAACACGCCTCCAATACAATTAACCACCGTCTGCAACAGCCACCACTGCGCCGGTCAGAGGTCCCGCGTCGCCCAACCACGCTGTTCTCCGCCGCCGGTAAGTGTAGGTTTTGTGTTTTGTTTTTTTTTTTAATTTTATTTTTAAATTTTAGTCTGACAAATCCTTTGAACAGCCACCACCGTCGGCGCCTTTACAAGCAGCCACTACCGCCGGTTCCTCCTCCATTATTGTCCTCGCTCCGACCAGAACCACCACCATCTTCACCACCCGCCGTTCTACAGCCGGTAATTGTAAATTTATTATATATATATATATTATTTTTTAAAAAATAATTGTACCTTTATTATAAAAATTGACATATTAATTTTTACTATTTGTAGGATTTGAGCATTTACTTGTTTTGAATCTCAATAAATAGTGCAGATCTTGAGGTTAGTGACATGAAATTTTTAAAAATTCTTAGTTTAGTTTATTTTGTGATAATTTTAAGTTACTTTAGTTTGATTTATTTTATTATAATAATGGTTGATATGTTAGTTTAATTTGGCTTATCATAATAATGTAAGACATGACATGTGAAATTATAATAATGTAGGGGCTTATCATAATAATGTATGACATGATATGTTAGTTTAGGTTGGTATTTTATTATAATAATGTACGGGATTATATGTTAGTTTATATTGATTTTGTTTAGTATAATGATGTATGTTAGCTTAGTTTAATTTGTGATAATTTTATAATGTATATTAGTTTTGTTTTATGTAATGTAATGTTCACTAGTTTTGTTTAGTTAATGTAATGATTAATAATTTTTTGTATCAATTTAATTATGAATATAAATTGTTTACATATGATTATTTATATTAATTAAATGATGATTATGATATATTTGGTTTACTTATAATTATTAATTTAATTTAATTAATTGTGTTCTTTACTTTATAATGGTTGTGTTATTTGCTTGAAATATTTTAAAATGAGCGTGTTATAATGATGGATGTGTTATAATGAATGTGTTATAACAATGGATGTGTTTTTGGCTTTATATACTTTCGAATGAATCATTTGCATAATCATTTGCCTAGATACCCGTTCAAGTCATACTCATTAGGAGTATGTCTTGAATAGTCCCCGGTTGGGACTGTCCTAAGACGTTTATTCTCACTTAGGTGGTGAATGTATGCCTTGTTATTGATTCTAGGGATTATCCTGCTTTGTCATTTCTCTACAATGTTCTCTGGGTACATATGACGGGTTATCTAATACCCTTGATCGTGTACTTGGAGAACTTAAGGGAAATGCTACCGGATTTTCCATAGAATTGAAAACCTAGCATACATTCGCTAGTGAGATTAAATATCCAAGGATGGGTTAGGTTGGAGTGATAAGGACCTTTGGACATCATTTAAAATATTATTTGCATATTCATAACATTTTTATGGATAATGAATATTCAATACGCATTGTGACTAATGTAATTATACATATTTGTGAGTTGTGTAGAAGTTGTAATCATGAAACGAACAGAACGTAGCTGGATGTATGAAAGGAAGGTTGGACATTCTATTAATCCGGATTTTGTGAAAGGGGTAGATGAATTCCTTAAATACGTGGAAGATCATCCCGAGAGCAGCAACCCGAATGAAGTTAGGTGTCCATGTTTTAAATGTAAGAACAAGCGGCTATGGGATGCGAAAACGGTTAAAATTCATTTGTACCGCAAGGGTTTTGTGCCTAACTACTATGAGTGGATGTGTCATGGGGAAGGGTTTCCGGGAGTTCCTGAAGGGCCGTCAAATGAATATCGTGAAATGGTTTTCGATGCTTTTGGTCATAATGAAGATCAAGGGCATTCTGAAGAGGCAGAGGAGGAGCCTAATGCACAAGCTAAGCATTTCTTAGACTTTTTAAAAGCTTCCGAACAACCATTATACGAAGGGAGTTCGTTGTCTGTCTTAGAGATGGCTGCCCGAATTACTAGTCTTAAGTGCGAGTATAATTTGCCCCATAGATGTGTTCATGGGTTTGCTTCTTTGGTCAATGAGGCTATTCCTAACAACAACCATATGGCCGATACATTCTATGAGGTGAAGAAGATTGTAAAGGGGCTGGAGTTGCCTCATGAAAAGATTCATGCATGCCCGAAAGGATGTATGCTATTTTGGAAGGATGATGTTCAGCTATCTTCATGTCGGGTGTGTGGTAGCGACCGATACAAGAAGACTTCCAAAGGTAGCTTAGTGCCTTTGAATGTTTTAATTTACTTTCCGATCACACCGAGATTGCAAAGGCTCTATGCAACCAAGAACATTTCGGAGGAAATGACATGGCATTCGAAAAATCCTCGAGTTCAAGGCACAATGGCGCACCCTAGTGATAGTGAAGCTTGGAAACACCTTGACAATTGCTTCCCAGAATTTTCCAATGAGCCTCATAATGTTCGACTTGGCTTGTGTACAGATGGTTTTGCTCCTCATGGTAAGTTTGGGGGACAATATTCTTGTTGGCCTGTCATATTGACCCCTTATAACTTGCCTCCCTCAATGTGTATGAAAAGAAAATTCATGTTTCTTTCATTGCTTGTTCCTGGTCCTAAGAACCCTAAGGGCAATTTGAATGTGTATATGCAACCGCTGGTAGAAGAGTTGAAGCATTTATGGGAAGTTGGCGCAAATACTTATGACATTTCAAGGAAACAAAATTTTAATCTTCGAGCAGCCATCCTGTGGACCATTAGTGACTTCCCAGCTTACGGTATGTTGTCTGGTTGGACCACAGTGGGTAAGAAGGCTTGTCCTTATTGTATGGATAAAAGCAAAGCATTTTGTCTTGAACATGGTGGCAAAGTTTCTTGGTTTGATTGCCATTGCCAATTTCTTCCAACAGAACACCCTTTTCGAAAAAGCAAAACTGCATTTTGTAAAAATAAAGTCGAAAAAGGTTCACCGCCACACATCATGTCAGGTGAGGAATTGTGGGAATGTGTGAGACAACTTCCAAAGGCAACTGATGGACCGGAGACATTGAAACACCTAAAAAAAGCAAAAAAGGGGTGGTTCAAGCAAAGCTCGTTGTGGGAACTTCCTTATTGGAAGCATTTGCTCATCCGTCACAACTTGGATTTCATGCACATTGAAAAGAACTTCTTTGCTCAGCTAATCCACACCATAATGGATGTGAAAAAGCATACATGTGACACGCCATCGGCTCGAAATGACATTGCCAAATATTGTAAACGGCCACAACTTCATATGGATGAAGATGATAGAGGAAAAGAGTTTATGCCAAAAGCCCCATTCGCTCTTGACAAGGCTCAAAGAAAAGTGTTGTGTGAATGGGTTAAACAATTGTGTTTTCCAGATGGATATGCCTTTAATTTGAGCAGATGCGTAGATTTACAAGCCTGTAAGCTTCATGGAATGAAAGCCACGACTGTCACGTGTTCATGGAGAGGTTGTTGCCCACTGCTTTGAGGGAATTGCTCCCTACCCATATTTGGAATGCGGTTACAGAGATCAGTCAATTCTTCCGTGATTTGTGTTGTTACACAATCACAGTTAGTGACATGGAGCGATTAGAGAAAAACATAGCTGAAATCCTTTGCAAGCTTGAGAAGGTTTTCCCTCCTTCATTCTTCAACTCTATGGAGCATTTACCTATTCATTTTTCATATGAGGGCAAGTTATGTGGTCCTGTTCAATATAGATGGATGTATCCCTTCGAAAGGTAAATCAAAGTCCCATTAAATTCTTTCATACAAACCCTTCATAGTCATGACCTATTTACGCAATTAATTATACTATTTTAAATGCAGGTTCCTTAATCACTTGAAACGTAAAATTGGGAACAAGGCACGAGTTGAAGGTTCAATATGCAATGCTTATCTCACCGAAGAGATAGCAAACTTTTGCTCAAATTACTTCCAGGCGTCAGTTGACACAAAAACTCGGGATCTTGGTCGAAATGTGAATGTAGACGTGGAATCCACATTGGAGAACGCTGACTTACCGGAGTTGTTCTCGGAGGATAGCGGTCGTGTCTCATCTGAGGGTAAAACCCGGTACTTAGATGAAAAGGAACTCGAGTGTGCTCATTTGTTCGTTTTACGAAACTGCGGCATTCTTGGTGAATACGAAAGGTATACGTGGTCAGGATTGAAATTTTTTCATAGTTTTGAAGAATTAAATCGGTTGAATTACTAATTTTATCTCGTGTCATTGACCTAATAGGAAGTTTGAGGACTACGTTCTTAGTACCCGGCCTTTTTGCGTAGAGAGGAAGTCATGGAGAAATGTGACATCGAATTCTCTGATTGGTTTCACCATAAGGTGATAGAATTGTTCTATCTGTTCTTTAAATATGACTTTCAGATATTGCAATTCTCTGTAATTAATTCTTCTATTCTGACGTAAATAGGTGGTTGAAGAGAAACCAAATTCGGATGTCCTCCAAGCTTTGTGCATGCGTCCTTTCAAGCGTGTTCGAACTTGGAAGGGGATTTTTGTTGGTGGATTTAATTTCCATACACATTCCTATGGTAAACACAAGTCTACGATGAATTACGGTGTTTGTGTGTCTAGTGAGGACGGTGGAGAGTACTTTGGCATTCTAGACGATATAATTGAACTTGTCTACACTGGTCCAATTAAAGAGTATAAGACTATACTCTTTAAGTGTAGTTGGATGGATTGTGGTAGGGGTATGAACATACATGAACAGTATAAGCTTGTTGAAGTGAATCATACTAAGAAATACCCCAAGTATGATCCCTTCGTATTATCTTATCAAGTGACCCAAGTGTACTACACATCCTACCCTAGCCTAAAACGGGATCGAGTTCTATGGTGGTTTGTGTTTAAAACACAAGCAAGGTCAGTGGTTGATGCTCCAGTAGACCTTCAGTTTTTGCAGGCACCGTCCCCAGAAGTATATGCAACGCTTTGTCCACCGAATGACATTCCTGACTACGACCTAGTTGAGGATGACGACGAAGACGATGATGACGACTTAATAATCTCAAGTGAATCAGATGATGAATCCAGCGTCGACTCTAGTGACAGTGACGAGGATACTGACATCGATGTGTTTTTAGATGATAGTAGTGATTAAACATGGGCACGGGTCGTGCCCGTGCCGCCGCGGGCCGTGCCTGGCCGTGCCGGGGTGGGGGCCGTGTCATGTCGTGCCGTGCCATGCCTGAATTTGGCACACCCCAGCCTGCGGCACGGCACGGCCCACGTGCCTTGCGGGCCGTGCCGTGCCGGGCCGCGGGCCAAACTGTGCCAGCTTATTTTTTTTTTTATTTTTTTTAATAAATGAAAAAAAAACGAATTAAACGATATATATATTTTTAGTACAACTTAATATATGTGATTAATTTATGTTTATGTTAAATGTTAATGTTAATATATTTTGTTTTCATTTTTTGAACAACTTTATTTTAATTTAGGTTATATAAATTATTTATCTAATTAATAATTATGTTTAAGTTTATTTAAACAAATAAAAACAATTTTATTAATTTAGCAAAAAACAACAATGCATATAATAAAAAAAAATACGAGTGCGATAATCCGAAAACACAAAAAATTGAAGAATAACTTATTTTATTATATGACGGTAGCCGGTACGAATGTACGATAATTCAATAATACAAAATAAGTAATGATAATTAAAAATCGTACAAGTTTATGAATATTGAATAACTTCATTTATTATACGGAATACGAAGTTCGATAATACAAAAAGAATACAATAGTGTATAATGTAAATATGTAATCATGTAATTATTATTGGTCGTCTTCGTCTTCGCCTTCGTCTTCATCTTCGTCTTCGTGAGGTTCAAGTTCATCCGCCAATTGAGTTGATTGAGAAGTATGAGAACTAAAAGAAGTAGACATTCCTTCATCGTCATCGTTTTGTGCATAAGTACGATCTTGAGAACGAGTTTCGGCATCCAACCAATCCTTGAAGCAAACACACATTTCAAGTGTTTCGGGTTTTAGTCTTGTTCTTCTATCGTCTAAAACTCGTCCCGACGCACTAAAAGCTCTTTCGGAGGCAACGGAGGAGACTTGGATTGCAAAAATATCACGAGCCATTGCCGACAAAATTGGATGTTTCACGGTTTGTGATTTCCACCAATCGAGGATGTCGAGGCTAAACTTCTCTTCATCGTCCATGCCTTTCATGAAGTCGTAACTTAAGTACATTTGCAACTCCGAAACATCGCTTTGTGTTCTCTTACTTGATGATGATTCCGTACCTGAAAACTTGGACATCATGTTAGCAGCTTGTGCAAATAAACCTTTGGCCCGTTTACTTACATTTTTGGATGTTTGAGAAGGGGAAAATCGAGACACGGTTCCATATTTACTTTCATAGGTGGAGTATAAAGAAAAAAAATCATTTGTCACCTTAGTTTTAAAAGCTTCAACATCATCTTCAAAATTCATGTTACTATAATAAATATCAATTAATAAAAAGGTGCCATCATATTTTTGCCTAGGATCTAAAATAGAAGCAAAAATATAAATCATAGGAATATCGGTGTAATATTTACGCCATTTTTCCTCCATGGATGGAAGATATCCACGATAAACATGTTGAGATCGGTGTTCCGCAAAAAGTTGTGCAAGTAAACATGCATTACTAAGAAAACAATGAGAACAAGGATTATATACAGAAGAAAAACAATGTGTCATACCATATAGTAATTGTAAAAACTGCATATATTTTTTACAATTAACCCAATCATCTTCTAGTAAAGCATTTTGTGGAAATTTCATATTATAAAAAAGTGTTAAATGAACCTTGTACTCAATTGCCCGACTCAACATTTCATAGGTGGAGTTCCACCTAGTTGGACAATCCGGTGCTATTTTTATGGTTTTTATCCGTTGTTTCCTGCAAAAACCTTTCCATTCTTGATATCTCATGTTAGAGCTATTAATAGACATAATAGCATTCCTTATTTTGTGATAAAATGGACCAATTGCTTGTGTTCCATCCTTCACACACAAGTTAAGAACATGACAATTGCATCTAACATGAAGTGCATCTCCATCTAATATAACATCGGTCAATTGGTTTTTGACCAAATTCGCACTATATGTCATAGAAGTTGCATTATCGAAAGTCATTGACATGATTTTATCCCTAAGACTATATGCATCAATGGCTTCCATTAAATGATGTGAAATGTTAAGACCGGTATGAGGGTATTCAAGCATTTTGAAATGAATGATGCGTTTTTGTAACATCCACTCATTATCTAACCAATGACAAGTAACACATAAATAGTGGAGTCCGTAACCACCATCCCATGCATCGGCGGTTAAAGAAACTTTAATAGGAAGATTAGCTAATTCATTTACTAATTTCAATTTGTACTCTAGATAACTCTTCATGGCAGCAGATCGAACGGTTTTTCGGGAGATTTTTTTGTGTTTTGGTTGTAGTGCTTGGTTAACATAGTTGTTGAAGGCATCATTTTCGGCGAAAAGAAAAGGTTGTTCCGCATGTACAATCATTCTCCCAAGTTCATCCCTATCTCTCTCGTAATTGTAAATGAAGCCTTGTGGATGGAATTGAGAAATTTTGGGTTGGGTTGGATCACTAGATGGTCCACCACATTTTTTTGTATGTCTATTAAGGTGTCCCGTCCCTCCCTTGGTATCGGCCGAGAAAATTTTACCACAAGTCCGACACTTGGCCTTTTGTCCATTTTTACTTAATTGATAATGTGACCAAACTTCACTCTTTCTTTTGGTTTGAGCAAAATCCTCTTCAGTACACCACTCTAATATGTTAGGATTTTGGGTGTTGGGCATTTGGGTGGATGGTTCATTCGACCCGCAGGCTTGTGTTTGGCTACCTTGGGAAGGAAGAGGAAAAGGAAATTCATGTTGTTGAAATTGGCTTTGTTGAAATTGGGTCCAAGGAGCCATATCATCCATTTGTTCTTGCCCTCTCGTGTTTTGGGATGAAAGAAAGGGGTGGAAGTGTTTGGAAAGGGCATGTTAGGGGAGGGAAAGGGCATGTTAGGGGGGGCATAGGTATTGAAGTGTTTGGATTTGGTGATTCCCTACGTTTTGACTTGGCTTTTCTAGAGGAGGAGGAAGCGTTCGGGTTTGATGCCATGATTAATTAATAATAATAACAATAAAAGTAACAATAACAATAATAATAATAATACAAATAACAATAACAATAATAATAACAATAAAAGTAACAATAACAATAATAATAATAATAATACAAATAACAATAACAATAACAATAATAATAACAATTCACAACAATAATAATAACAATTCACAATAATAATAATAACAATAACAATAAGAATTAGTAAGTAGTTTTTATATAAATTAAATTTTTAAAAATAATTATAATAATAGTAGATTACTTGGATCAATGAGATCCCAGGTAGGAGAGGTTAGGAGCGACGTTGTCCAGAGCCCAAGTCCCGCCTTAGACAGATTTCAACAATCCAAATAACCCACAATTAAAATAGAAAGTAGTTTTTATATAATTAAGTAGTTCCAACTTCCAAGAATACAATAATAATAATAATAATAATAATAATAATAATAATAATAATAATAATAATAATAATAATAATAATAATAATAATAATAATAATAATACTAATACTAATAATAATACTAATAATAATAATAATAATAATAATAATAATAATAATAATAATAATAACAATAATAATAATAATAATAATAATAATAATAATAATAACAAGATTAACAACTAACAATAACAAATTAAAATAAAGTAGAGTTAGATCTTACAATGACGCTTCAATGCTTTCCCAAATTTATAATTTCCCGAACTTATAATTTCCCGAATTTATAATTTCCCGAATGTAAATATAACAAATTTTTTTTTTTGGTAGTAGACTAATAAAGGTAATAATAGTAAAAATGTAAAATTTATAAGAGAGTAGGAATTTTTTTTTTCACAAAAGAGAGCAAGATTGTAGAATTTGTAGGAACTTGAGAATTGAGAATTTGGGAGTAAGAAAATTAGAGAATAAGAGAGAAGAGATGAGTTGATGAATTGTGAAAATTTTGGAGGAAAATATGAGGTATTTATAGGGAATTTGGGTGGGAAAAGGGGTGGAAAACTAGCCGTTTATAGCTGTTGGAAAACGGCCATAAACGGCTAGTTTTCCAACGGTATGGCACGGGCCGTGCCTTGCGGGCTCGTGCCGTGCCGTGTCGTGCCCGGCCGTGCCACGTGCCGTGCCGCCGGGTCGTGCCAGCGTGCCGGCCCACGTGCCAGCCACCGTGTCGCCCGGCGTGCCACGTGCCGTGCCCGTGCCAAATCCCACAATTTTGTTCACGGCACGACCCACAGGTGGGCCGCCGTGCCGTGCCGTGCTGGGCCGTGCCGGTGTCGTGCCGGGCCCGTGCCCATGTTTAGTAGTGATAATACCAGTAGTGATAGTAGCGATGAAAGCCACGAGTAGGAAAATGTGGTTGTTATTATAAAATAAATAGGATGCATTTGCTTGTACTTTGAATGTAATTGTCGGTTTAATTTGATTGTTATTGTAAAACCAATTATGGAGTTGGTCGTTCTATTTTATTACTTTTACATCTCATTGTACTACTAATTTTTGTAATGTTAATAATATCATAGCATGTTACTAACGTTTTTTTCAGGTTGCAATGGTGGGAGGGAAAAAAGGAGAAACGTCGAAGAGTAGAAAAGGAAAGGAGAAAAGACAGGTTTTGATATATGATGATGATGAGGAAATGGAGGATGCGGAGGACGCGGAAGATTTGGGTGACGACGAGGATCCTCAAACACAGATGCAGATTGAGCATCATGAGCAACAGCTTCAGGCGTAACAGCTTCAGGGGCAACATGCCTCGCAGTCTTCTCAGAGGGCGGTACTAGACCCTGCCACGTGCTGGTATATATTTAGTTGTTATTTCAATCCCTTTGTATCCATATTTTATATCATGACCTATGGAATACTCTAACATGAACTACTTATTTTCTTTTTGATCTTGATGTACGTTAAAATAGGTTTGATGATAAAGCCGTGGTAAAGGCCATCTCTGGTACCCTAACAGGCTACT